TATATATATATATATATATATATATATATATATATATATATATATATATATATAGTATTGGGACACCTGCCTTTGCTCAGACATGAACTTTAATGACATCCCATTCTTAATACATAGGCTTTAATATGAAGTTGGCCTACCCTTTGCAGCTATAACACCCTCAACTCTTCTGGTAAGGATGTCCACAAGGTTTAGTAGTGTGTTTATGGGAATTTTTGACCATTCTTCCAGGAGAGCATTTGTGAGGTCAGACACTGATGTTGGACGAGAAGGCCGGGCTCGCAGTCTCTGCTAACTGTAATTCATCCCAGTGTTGTTCTATTGGATTGAAGTCAGGGCTCTGTGCAGGCCAATCAAGTTCCTCCACACCAGACTTGCTCCATGTCCTTATGGACCTTGCTTTGTGCACTTGTGCGCAGTCATGCTGGAACAGGAAACTGTTCCCAAACTGTTCCCCCAAAGTTGGTAGCATGAAATTGTCCAAAATGGCTTTGAATGCTGCAGCATTAAGAATTCCTTTCACTAAGGGGCCAAGCCCAACCCCTGAAAAACAACCCCACAATATAATCCGCCCTCTATCAAACTTCACACTTGGCACAATGCAGTCAGGCAAGTACCGTTCTCCTGGCAACCACCAAACCCAGAATTGTCCATTGGATTGCCAGACAGAGGAGCGTGATTCGTCAGTCCACACATCTCCACTGCTCTAGAGTCCAGTGACGGTGTGCTTTACAGCATTGCATCCGACGCTTTGCATTGTACTTGGTGATGTAAGGCTTGGATGCAGCTGCTCGGCCATGGAAACCCATTCCATAACACACAGTTCTTGGGTTAATCTGAAGGTCACACAAAACCTGGAGGTCTGTAGCCACTGACTCTGCAGACAGTTGGCGACTTCTGCACACTGTGTTCCTCAGCATGCATTGTCCCCACTCTGTGATTTTACATGGCCTACCACTTCATGGCTGAGTTGCTGTTGTTCCCAATTGCTTTCACTTTTTTATAATACAACTAACAATTGACCATGCAATATTTAGTAGTGAGGAAATTTCACGAATGGACTTATTGCACAGGTGGCATCCTATCTTGGTACCATGCTTAAATTCACTAAGCTTGTGAGAGCAATCAATTCTTTCGCAAATGTTTGTAGAAGCAGTCTGCATGCCTAGGTGCTTGATTTTAAACACCTGTGGTTATGGAAATGATTGGAACACATGAATTCAATGATTTGGAGGGGTGTCCCAATACCTTTGGCAATATAGTGTAGATGGATGGAATTCTGAAAATGTGTCACATTTTGATATGTTGCAATTGTGTATTGATGTAAATGTGGTGCTACTGTACACCGCTTAGAGCTAGAGGCCGAGCTACTGAAGGAACTGGACCCCCAGATCCACGCTCATCTGGTCACAGACAGTATCAGTATGCGCTGGCAGTATGGCATCCTACAAACATATATATTGACAAACACTAAACACTTAGACAAGACACGCACAACAAGCATAGCTTAAAAAATGTCCTTCTCTCTTTCAGGTATTGTGTGTGAGAAGGGGGTGGCTTAATGGTTAGGGAAGCGCACTCGTAATCAGAAGATTGCAGGTTCAAATCCCTGACCAGCAAGACACCACTGAGGTACCCTAAGCAAAGTACCTCCCCCAAGCACTGCTCCCCAGGTGCTGAATTAGCTGCCCCCTGCTATATCACGAAAGTCACATATGGGTTAAATGCAGAGGACACATTTCGTTGTTGTGCACTGGGTGCTGTGGTGTGTCAATAATCACAAATAAAAAAAATAAAAAAAATATTAGATTACTAAAATGCCAGCACTCTTTGTTTCACCCTTATTGGTTCCTAAGTGTGCATCCCTCTCCCAGACTACAGGGTACCAGCTTGCTTTAGTCCGGATCTTTAAATCAAGGCCCAGGTTTCTAAATCTCTGAGCTGTACAAGTTGGAATGCTGGCCTTCCTTTACCTTGTTATTTGTATCACCTTGAGTCTTGTATTTTTTGGCTACTTATGGTTAAGGTTAGAGCTGGGTAGGGGTTAAGGTCATCATGTTGGGATTAGAGTTCTCCCCATAGAAATGAATGGAGAGTCCCCACAAAGATATAATTACAAACCTGTGTGTGTGTGTGTGTGTGTGTGTGTGTGTGTGTGTGATCCTACAGAAGCATGATGTGTCACTCCACAAAACACATTCAAAACTCTCCAGAGTCCAGTGATGGCGTGCTTTACATCACTCCATCTGACACTTGGCATTGTGCTTTGTGATGTGAGGCTTGCATGAAGCTGCTCAGCCATGGTAGCCCATTCCATGAAGCTCCCAGCTCCCGATACTGGAGTTAATGCCAGAGAAAGTATGGAACTCTATAGTTACTGAGTCAACAGAGCATTGGTAACTTTTGCCACCGCACTCGGCAACCCCGCTGTTACTTTACGGCGTCACCATGAGTTTATGTTGTACCTAAATGCTTCTACTTTGCAATAATTCCACTTACAGTTGACCATGGAATATGTAGCAGGGACGAACACAACTGCCATGGTATACACAGTACCTTCCGTGTTCAATGAAAAAGGCCCTTACAGCCTCCATGCGCATAGCCGAAAGCTCATGCAGAAAAGTGAAGTAAGAATTGGCCTTAAAGAATTTCACTTGCAGTTGAACACTTGTAACACCAAGATTTTGTGTCTGCACAGCCACCAAGTGTGCTGGTCCTCATCTATTGCGCACGCTGTCACGCCCGGCTCGTACGATCCTCATGTGTGCCACGCCCCTCATTACCTACGTGTACTACCCCGATTGTAATCACCTGTTGCTTGTTCAGTTCAACCTGTCTTGTTTATCTAGTCCGCGTCTGCGTGAGTTTCCCTAGATCCGTCATTTGTAATGTTTGATGTTCGTCGCCTGTCTGCCCTGAATAAACCCCATTTACCCGTAAGTTCGGCTCCACTCGTCTACTTCCCGGCTCGCCTGCTCCTGAAGTGTGACACACCCCTCTGTTTTGGAATATTGTCCTTTCCTCTTACAAGATCATTCTTACTAAACAAAAATATATATACACTCACCTAAAGGATTATTAGGAACACCATACTAATACGCTGTTTGACCCCCTTTCGCCTTCAGAACTGCCTTAATTCTACGTGGCATTGATTCAACAAGGTGCTGAAAGCATTCTTTAGAAATGTTGGCCCATATTGATAGGATATCATCTTGCAGTTGATGGAGATTTGTGGGATGCACATCCAGGGCACGAAGCTCCCGTTCCACCACATCCCAAAGATGCTCTATTGGGTTGAGATCTGGTGACTGTGGGGGCTATTTTAGTACAGTGAACTCATTGTCATGTTCAAGAAACCAATTTGAAATGATTCGAGCTTTGTGACATGGTGCATTATCCTGCTGGAAGTAGCCATCAGAGGATGGGTACATGGTGGTCATAAAGGGATGGACATGGTCAGAAACAATGCTCAGGTAGGCCGTGGCATTTAAACGATGCCAAATTGGCACTAAGGGGCCTAAAGTGTGCCAAGAAAACATCCCCCACACCATTACACCACCACCACCAGCCTGCACAGTGGTAACAAGGCATGATGGATCCATGTTCTCATTCTGTTTACGCCAAATTCTGACTCTACCATTTGAATGTCTCAACAGAAATCGAGACTCATCAGACCAGGCAACATTTTTCCAGTCTTCAACTGTCCAATTTTGGTGAGCTCGTGCAAATGCATAAGAACTCTTTTTCCTATTTGTAGTGGAGATGAGTGGTACCCGGTGGGGTCTTCTGCTGTTGTAGCCCATCCGCCTCAAGGTTGTGCGTGTTGTGGTTTCACAAATGCTTTGCTGCATACCTCGGTTGTAACGAGTGGTTATTTCAGTCAAAGTTGCTCTTCTATCAGCTTGAATCAGTCGGCCCATTCTCCTCTGACCTCTAGCATCAACAAGGCATTTTCGCCCACAGGACTGCCGCATACTGGATGTTTTTTCCTTTGCACACCATTCTTTGTAAACCCTAGAAATGTTTGTGCGTGAAAATCCCAGTAACTGAGCAGATTGTGAAATACTGAGACCGGCCCGTCTGGCACCAACAACCATGCCACGCTCAAAATTGCTTAAATCACCTTTCTTTCCCATTCTGACAATCAGTTTGGAGTTCAGGAGATTGTCTTGACCAGGACCACACCCCTAAATGCATTGAAGCAACTGCCATGTGATTGGTTGATTAGATAATTGCATTAATGAGAAATTGAACAGGTGTTCCTAATAATCCTTTAGGTGAGTGTATATAATACATATATAAAAAATTGAATGCAGAGGACCAATAGGACTCCATGATTCTGGGTGATTCTGGTTTTTTTTTCCACTAAGATTCAGGATTGGGATTTTGTCTCTCGATTCTTGAGAAATAAATTTCTTTATTATCATTCTTATTATTATTATTAGCATTAGCATTACATATTGGCTTTATGAAGATGCAACAAACAATATGTAATGATGCACAAAAGGTAATTAGCATATATGATGTGTACTTTGATACTCAGTCCTTTCATTGTATCATACATTCAGTCAGTACATTTTTACACACATGACTTTGTTGAAAATGTCTAAATGAATCAGTTTTCCAGTATCATACCTGTCACGCCCAGCTCCGTCCAATCCTTCTGTGTGCCATGCCCACCTCGTTACCTCATGTTGATTACCGAGTGTTATCACCTGATACCCGTTCTTTCCTGCTTGTCTTGTGTATTTAGTCCGCGTCTGAGTTAGTTTCCCCAGGTCTGTCATTGACATCGTTTGCTGTGAAGCTCCCCTGTCTGCTTTGTTCCCGTGAATAAATCCTGTTTGACCGTGTTCACGGCTCACTTGCCTGCTTCCCGGATCGCCGGACTCGCAACCTGACCAGACCATTATGATGACATTGTTTGAAAAGATATATATAAAAAAAATTGCATTTAATTTTTGTGTTCCTTATATAACTCACTTTATTTTTTCATTCTAACAGTGTTAAAGGATAATATTTTTGCACACCACACCAGTGTTATCACACTGCGTAATATGATAAGACAGAATAAATTTGAATAAGACAAAATGTTTTCAGAACATTGTTTTGTGCAGGTGTGTAGAAATGAGGAATAGGCAGCAATATGAAAACCTCATAAGGAAACGATAATATAAGCTGCAGTGTGTGATGAACATCTGAAGACAAATTATCAAAATATATTTTCCTAATCCATTGTCTTATACATTTTGTATATTATCATTTTTATTTGGTTTGACTATTAAATGTCATAAAAGCAACTTAGCCTTATTTGATCACATAATACTTTTTGCTTATCTGAGGTGGCGGACAAATCAGAAGTATTTAAGGATCATTTAGAAAGACAGCAGGGTAGTTTTGAGAAATCAGTGGCTCCCCAGGTACTGGTGAAGAGGCTTAAATAGAGTTAGTCGACCTCCTCAATAGTGGGACCTGAAGAAGAGCTGCTGGCGCCCCCGGGGAATCCCCCAGGCATCCCCCCCGGCATGCCACCAGCCCCCTGGTAAAGCTTTGTGATTATAGGATTACACACTTTTTCCAGCTCTTTTTGTTGATGCTCATATTCATCCTTTTCTGCCGTCTGTGAAGTACAGGGGGAGAAGGAGCAGTTAAAATAGTTTGGAATTTAGTAAAAATAATAAAAACAATACAAAAAAGATTTATCATCATCAGAATGAGATAACATCTGTTAATCACCATGTGACTATCAAAGACCTGTGTTTGTGCTGGACCTCTAAGATTACCTGATTCTTGTCCAGCCAGGAAATCACTTCATTGCACTTGTCTATGATCATCTTCTTGTCTTCTGCACTGATCTTGTCCTTCAGCTTCTCATCTTCCACTGTACTCTTCATGTTGAAGGCAAGGGACTCCAACGAGTTCTTGGTCGTGACTTTGTCTCGTTGTACTTCATCTTCAGCACGGTACTGCTCCGCTTCCTGCACCATGCGCTCGATATCTTCCTTTGTCAGTCGACCTGAAAGGAAATACAGGGTGTTTTTACACAGCTACTAACCTAGTCATCAAAGTTCTTTAGAATCTAGGGCTTCTAAAGGAAGATGGTGTTTATTACAAAATGAACTACTATAGTCTATGCAGTGTTTTCTATACTTTTCAGAACACACCATTAGCAGCAGTACTCAACTACTCCTTTTCATCAGCTAGACAGTTAAAGGCAATATACTGAAAGAAACAATATCATTGTACTTCTAACCCATGTGTGTCAACCTCATTTTAGTGAACCTATATAAATAATCAATGGTTTTTTCACATACACAACAAAAGTTACAGAGAAGTTATGCTTAGTAATGCAAATATAAAAAATGTGGTAAAAATAGTGACACTAATGAGTACATACAACAGTAAAAGTATGAGACTTATTTGTACTTTTAATACATTTAAATTAAACTTAAATGTAATCACCCTGATCTGCAAAATCAAAGCAGACACTCCACCTTCTGGTCACTGGGAAATACTACTCCCCCCGCCGCGCCTACTACAGTATGTGCCTTTCGTGACCGTGAAATACGAAATGCATTTTGTACACAAAATTATTTAGTTGACAAAATGCATTTCGTCCACAAAATGATTTTCTTTTATTTAGCTCGAAAGCCATAGCCTATGTTTTATTGATTATAAACGCATATTCAATGATTAGAGGAGCTAAATACGTGGATTTGTCCACTGAATAAAATCATTCCATTAAGAAAACATAACACTATCGATCTGAATATTCATTGATAATATCACAAGACATGTTGGTTATACTATCAAGTTAAATGGTAACTGATTTCTGTATTAATAAAAAACATACCTTTAAAAAACATTCATGAATGTATTTTATATAAGTAATAACAAATAAAACACTATGGAGCTAAATAAACAATAATCTATTAAAACATGTCGGTTGTAGTACCAAGCTGAATGTAAATGATTTCTTAATAATAATAAAAACACACTTTTGCGAAAGATTTGTAATCCTATTTTATTGATGTGAACTCTTGCTGCAGCAGTAACGGTGAGCATGAAATGTATGAGGTACACTGAAAAGGCATTCATGATATTCAGAATCATACTTTATCAAATTTCTCTCATTCAAAAAGCTTCCACTTAATGTCTGTTTTGCCAATTTCATCTACACTCATGTTATGTACCTTTGTCATTGGTGATGGTTATCTTGTTCTCTTTGCCTGTGCTCTTGTCTGCTGCTGACACATTGAGGATGCCATTAGCATCGATGTCAAAGGTCACCTCTATTTGGGGGACACCCCTGGGTGCAGGGGGGATCCCTGTTAGCTCGAATTTTCCCAGAATGTTGTTGTCTTTGGTCATTGCTCGCTCACCCTCATATACCTGAACAAAAACCAGAGGGATACCAGAATATCAATTGAAAGACCAAAACATTCACAAAACACAAAAATAATATCCATTGAATATATAGCTTTGCACAAATTGTATTTAAACCATATCTAAAAGAAAATGGCACACTCAAGATTACTGGTCATGTACAAATTATTTTAAAGACACAAACTTAGTGGCCACCAGATTAAGTACACTACAAGTACGTTTATAGTATCAGGTAGGATGCCGTTCTTACAGAACAACCTGAAATCTTTGAACCATGGATTCAATAAGGTGCTGGAAACTTTCCTTATGAAGTTATCCATAACATTTTTGCTGAACATGATCCAGGTATATAAGATTCTAACAGGTCGGGATGCTGTTCAGCCAAATGGCTATTTCAGTATTAGTTTAAATACTAGAACTCGTGACCATAAGTGGAGATTAGCGGGAGAACATTTTAAAATAAATTTGAGGAAGCACTTCTTTACACAGCGTGTACTTGGAGTATGGAATAGTCTTCCTGCTAGTGTACCGCAAGCTAAAACCCTGGGTTCCTTTAAATCAGAGCTAGATAAGATTTTAACAACTCTGAGCTATTAATTAAGTTCTCCCCAAACGAGCTTGATGGGCCAAATGGCCTCCTCTCTTGTGTAAATTTCTTATGTTTTTATGCTCTTGTAACCTTTAAGTTGGCTTTAATGAATCTGAACCTGAACATTCCCCATGTAAGTAGTCTCTTTCACCCTGAAAACTGCTACTGATTGGATGCTTTTTCTTTTTTTGTTCATCATAGCAGAAACACTGTAACAGGCGAAAATCCCCAACTACACCGCATTTAAAATCATGTATTGAGATACAGCCATGTGATTCTCTGTCTGCAGATATATTTTAGACTTAAGACAAACCACAGACCTGAATAAGTACTCCAGGCTGGTTGTCAGAGTATGTGGTGAAAGTCTGTGTTTGCTTGGTTGGGATGGTGGTATTTCTCTTGATAAGCACAGTCATGACCCCTCCAGCAGTTTCGATGCCCAGAGAGAGAGGTGTCACATCCAGAAGCAGAAGATCCTGGACGTTCTCTGACTTATCACCTGCCAGGATTGCAGCCTGCACAGCTGGGAACAACAATAAAGTAATGTAACTGTATATATCATGAGTGAGTTGATGAATGTTATAATATTACACTGCATTTTTTACATATTGACTATAGGTAAATAATAACAGATATGAGACATACCAGCACCATATGCCACAGCCTCATCTGGGTTGATGCTCTTGTTTAGGTCACGGCCGTTGAAGAAATCTTGCAGCAGCTTCTGGATTTTGGGGATTCGAGTGGAGCCGCCCACTAGGACAATGTCATGGATCTGGGCCTTGTCCATTTTAGCATCCCTAAGAGCTTTTTCCACAGGTTCCAGGGTACCACGGAAAAGGTCAGCGTTGAGCTCCTCAAACCTAGCTCTGGTGATGGAGGTATAGAAATCGGCTCCCTCGTAGAGGGAGTCAATTTCAATACTTGCCTGGGTACTGGAAGACAGGGTTCTCTTGGCCCGCTCACACGCTGTTCGCAAGCGGCGGACTGCTCTCTTGTTGTTGGTGATGTCCTTCTTAAACTTACGCTTGAACTCCCCAATGAAGTGGTTGACCATTCGGTTGTCAAAGTCTTCCCCGCCTAGGTGAGTGTCCCCAGCAGTGGCCTTGACTTCAAAGATCCCGTCTTCAATAGTCAGAATGGACACATCAAATGTTCCCCCACCGAGGTCAAAAATCAGAACATTGCGCTCTGCACCAACCTATGGAAACGTTTTGCATTTGAAAAGGACCACGGATATCATCTGGAGGTCTATGCTTCAAATCAAGATAAATGTACCTTCTTGTCCAGCCCATAGGCAATGGCTGCTGCAGTGGGTTCATTAATGATTCGTAGGACATTCAGCCCAGCAATGGTTCCAGCATCTTTGGTGGCTTGCCGTTGTGAGTCGTTGAAGTATGCAGGTACCGTAACAACTGCATTTGTTATAGACTGACAGTGGAAAAGAACGTTGCAATGTGTTATTTTATGTTGTCTTAGCTAATATTTTAGCCAAATAATAGACTTCGTATAAGTGCATAGATAATTTGCTAAGTAATTAAGTATTTTTCTTTTAAAATAAGTCGCTCTCATTTACAATGCATTTGATCTCTGTATTACAGGTTTTGTATATTTTAGTTAATCATTAAACCGAAAAGTTTTAAAACTTTTCTTTCTGTGTGAACATTTAATGCCTGAACAATATTAATCCATTGATTTGTAGAAAAAAGAATTATGAAATGTATTGCCTGTTTAAATATTGAATTAAATTTGTCTTAATATATGAGTCCTATAGTGATTTCTGTAATTGTAGAAGCTTCACAGGCATACCTTGCCCAAATAGGCTTCAGATATCTCCTTCATTTTTGTAAGCACCATGGAGGAAATTTCCTCAGGAAAGAATGTCTTTGTCTCACCCTTGTACTCCACTTCCATCTTTGGCTTCCCACCATCATTAACCACCTTGAAGGGCCAATGCTTCATATCTGATTGTACAACAGAATCATCGTAGCGCCGACCAATTAGACGCTTGGCATCTAGGATGGGGCAAGGTGGATGAGTAGAAATGTAAATGTTCTTGGTAAACAGTGGGATAATTAAGTTATAGGAATAAATACTTTGTAAAGACAATAATGTGTTTCATTACATATTCAAGATTCAGTTCTTTATTGTCATTGTACATTACAGTGCAACGAGATTGAGATAGCAGCTCCCTGAGTGGTGCAAACAAAACACAAGACAGGACCACACGTGTGACATTTAACAATATGTACAAAATATGGTGTTATGGTAGTTGCCTGTGCCTGTGTGTGTTTATGTCTGTGTCCCCTAGGTGGCGCTGGAGGAAACCTGGGGGGGAAAGATATACAGCGGGGAAAATAAGTATTTGACATATCAGCATTTTTATCAGTAAGGAGATTTCTAAGTGGGCTAAATAAAGTGAAATGACACAGTGTGTTCAATACTTATTCCCTGTGTCATTTCACTTTATTTATTATGATTAAACTTGTATACTTAAATGTTCTGATTTCTTTGTATGAATTCAATATTTGGCTTGATGGCAACATCTGGTGGACATTTTGTGTCAATAGCCCACTTAGAAATCCCCTTACTGATAAAAATGCTGATGTGTCAAATACTTATTTCCCCCGCTGTATAAGTGCTTCCTGGGAGCAAAGGAAGATGAGGGATCTGAACATTTGAGTGGAGAGCTGGAGAGATGGTTTTGGCGGGAGTTGGAATGGAGGCCTTTGTTTGGAGTACTTGAATGTTTGGCTAAGCTTGCTTGGTTAAATTTGTGAGAATAAATTTAATATGCCAAACGCCTTTTCCTTTGTGCCTAATTTTTCTCTTGTTTTGCA